GTATTTCCGCGTGGAAAGGATTTTTACGAAATTGTACGAGAGAAAGAATGAAATTAAAAGAAATTGTTTCCAATGGAAATGGAAGATGGACAAAAGTAAGACGAACGCTTGTAATGTTTCGCTATTTTTATATATAAGGACTATTTTTATAAGAATGAAAATCATTTCTAGTCCTGCTTAATTTGAATGCAAGACACAAAAAAAAAAAAAAAAAAAGAAAAGAAAAGAAAAGAAGAAACAGGAACACGTTTCAATAACAAGTGAAAAGACAAGAAAGACACTTCTTTCACCCGTAGTGCCGTTTCTAAGCAGAAACAAGAAATGTTTTTCATCAACACACTGCACTACACTTGCGCGAAGTTCTAAATTTTTTTGAATATTCCAGCCTCGAACTTTCCTTACAGTGGAACGCAACAGAAAAAAAAAGATGGAATTTCCACTAACCTGTGAGACAAGTGGCCCATTGCGGCCACACGCGGGAGAAAGTTTCTATTACCTTCAGTTTCATGTGTGTAGCGAGCGAGATAAATCGCGAGAATGGTCTTACAACTCTGCCGTCTCGTCACTATCGCACGGATTCATTCTTCTAATTGATTTATATTTTCTTGTTTTCACAATCCACGTTCTCGTAAATATTCAGCGCTCAGCGTGTCTCGTCACGTAGCTTTCGTTATCAGTGGTGTAGCGTGATACACGCGCATCAGCCTGTAATATTTCAATCGAATTTTTTGACCGGCACAAATATTGCGTATTCTTACTGATTGAACACTATTGCAATATGTCTAAACGTGACTCTTTAGTGATTCGCAAGAGTCGCAAGTTGCTGCGAGTGAAATGTTTAACTAGATCCTCTATCATTTCTCACACGTTCTCTTTCTCTAAATTTCGTAATATCGTTTGATCTTCGAAGTTGACGTAGTCGCGGCAAATTTTTCAAATCATCGTTCATCAACTGAGTTTTATTCCTTTAGTGGTGTACGTACTAATCAACTTGAATTTAGTAACGATTTATATTGTATATGCACGTGTTTATCTGATTTCAACACTATTAAATTGAACGAACTAATTATTCAAATCGCTTGAATAAATAAATGTTTATTCGGTCCGTCTATTTGCGGGAAATTAAATGACAATTTCGTGATCAGTTATTGTTAAGCAGGGAAATCATTCTATATAATAGTGATGGCGAGGGAATTTGTAGAATTTGAAGAA